TGGGGAGGGGGAGAGGAGGGAGGGGGAGAAGGGGAGGGGAGTGCGTGTCGCGGGGGGAAAAGGGGAAAACACAACCGAAATAGGAAGAGCATGATGCGCAACAGGTACGAGACAGTTGTTGGTGGTTGCCGGCAGTCGATGGGGGATGGAGGGGAGAGATGGAGTGGGGAGTTTGGGGCCTATGAGCATGACCTGGATTTCGCTGCCACAATACATGCATACACGTACATACATACACGCTACAAAGACGCACACGCACTACAACACCCATCCAACATCAACAAAACACACACGCATACGGGCGACCCCCCGCCCCCCGTAAGCCACCCCCACCTGCGGTCGGGGATCACTGGGTTTGCACACAACGGCGTACAGCTGGCTGGCGGACAGACCCACGGGCCACAACACCTCACTCAGCCGCCGGTCAGCGGGGGGCTCGAACACGGGCAGCCAGCGACCACCGAAGTCCGGAGTCCTACGACACACATACATACATACATATACACGTCCACGATAACATGGTAGGGAACAGGGGGAGATGGTGCGGGGCTCGGGAAGAGGGGAGGGGTTCTAGGAGTTCTAGGGTGTTTCAGGAAACAAAAGGAGACCAAAACCCACCTGACACACACCACCCCCTCCGAATCCGCCACCGCCGGCAGGCCGTGGTCCTCCGTGAATGCCAGCCACGTCAGCACCGACCCGGGGGTCAGGGGCAGCGGCTGACTAAACATGCACGACATTGCCGTAGTGTCGTACAATGCCATGGAAAGCTGCTGCGACTTGGTGTGTGGGTTGGGAGGACCTGCATAGGGTGGTGGCAGTGGTGGGGGTTAGGGGGTAAGTCTAGGAACAGGGGGCCAGCAGGGCGAGGGCATGTATGTCTGTATGTGTGTATGTGGAGGGGCGGGATAGGAGAGGATGGCACGTGGCCTAGGAAAGTACGTACGCGGCGGGGCCCCCTCATGCTCTCCGTTACTCACCCACGAGTTCCCCCTTTCCCCCCTCAGGATTCCGGATCCAGATTCAGGTCCTCCGCTCTCCCACCCACATCAGATACGTCACCACCGCCACCACCACCACCATCACCATGTGTTTTCCCCTCCCCGCCCCC